CCTCCCTCCCCGCTCCCCCCTCCCACATGAGCCCTTGATAGTTTATAAATGGGTATTTTGTCATATCTTGCCCTGTCCGACGTCTATAATGTTTTTATTGCTAATTTTTCATAGGTAGATTTCAAGGCCATTTTTGGGAGGCACTTCTGGGGTAGATTTGAACCCCAAACCTTGATGTTGGTAGCCGAATACACTAACCATTTTCACCAGCCAGGGTCTCCAGCGGGAAATGAGGTGGGTGAGTGGGTAGGGACTGCAGGAGAGAATTGGGGGTGAGGTGGACTTTGACTTTCCTGATGGGCTCTTTTTACTCGGGTATGATGGGATGAGGTGAGGGGGCGGAGGGTTGGTGAAAACACTAATGTTTTTGTTCTTCCCCAAAAGGAAATGCTCAATCCTGGCTCACTGATATGAATCTAATAACCCCAGGTATCTTCAGTCATGTTCTCTCCGCTCTCCAGCTGTCCCTATTTACATTTCTCTGCCTCTGTCTGTCTTTCTATTTCCCTTTCCCCTGCACAGTGTTCCCAGATCCAACAACATGGTACACTGATGACATTACCCAAAACCAGCGACAACAAACCAATCATAAGAATCACATCAAATTTTCTGCACTTCAATTTACTCATCTGGAAAATGAGAAAACAATGATTCTTCCTCCGATTGCTGAGGCTGAAGCAGTTTACTCTTTGCAATCAAATGATGTATGGGGCAGATTTGGTGCAAAAGACATCTTTAAAGTGTCAGAGAGCAAAATGTCATTTTGAAAAATAAGGTCCACCTGACCCAATCCATAGTATTTCCCAGAGATGGAAATGCTGCACCAGGAATAAAGAAGACCTCGGAAGAATGGGTGCATTTGCATGATGGTGTTGGCCAAGAATATTGGAATTAGCAAGGACTGCCCGAAGAACTAACACATATGTCTTGGAAGAAGTAGGCTCCTTAGAAATGAGGAGGGCAAGACTTGGTCACACGTATTTTGGACGTGTTATTAGGATGGACCAGGCCCTGGAAAAGGTTATCATGTTTGGAGAAGTAGAAGGTCAGCAAAAAAAAGATGAAGGCTTTCAAGGAGATGAATTGATGTAGACACTCCCGGCAACATGTCCAAAGGATGTGAAACAAAGTCTTGTCATCCTGGCTTCTAAGGAGCATTCAGGATGTACTTCTTCCCAGACATATTTGTTTGAAGACATTATGCTAAGCAAAATAAGGATAAACATGCAAAAGAATAAAAATATGCAAAAATTCCACTTACATGATACATTAAAAAATCGAGAAACCAAACATTATTACTAACTAAGAGAAAGGAGAATCATATCTTTTATTATGAATTGGGGAATTAAGTTTCTATTAGGGATGGTAGGTTAATTTATCAAAAGATTGTAGTGATGGCTGCCCAACATGATGAATGCAATTAGCGTCACTGAAATATAGGTATAAAAACTGTCAAATCGACAAGGGTTTTATATGGTTTCACTGCAATTAAAAGAACAAAATTAAAGAGACAAAGAAAGATTTTTAAGGGGACAAAAGCAGAATAACTGGGCAAGGGTTTTGTATTAAAATGAAAACCATGGGAGACTCCCATATCTGTGTCTAGTCCCACCCCACCCTACATTGAGATTCTCCTGGAGAAAGTGCAAGCTCAGGGTACTTTCACTGATTTTTTTCTTCACTGAGGGCAGAGAGAAACTCTTCTGCCACCATAGAGCCAGACCCCAGAAATCAGTCCAGAAGTACTCACTGGTGGTGGTTGAGGCTGAGGCTCCATAAGTGTAACCTGGAGAGAGAAGAGAAGGATCGCTGAAGAGAGTTAAGGTATATGTAAAGTCTAGGACCGACATCAATAGCCATCGCAGCACTATTGATACTAGCCCAAGGTGGAAACAACCCAACGTCCATCAACAGATGACTAAACAAACAAAATGTGGTACATACACAAAATGAACTATGAGGAAAATGGAAATGGAGACCTAACAGTAGATTAAGTCAAAAGGGATTGCTGCAAAATCATAGACACTTTTATTAAATAAATACACGAAAATGTGGAAACTGCCATTTATCACTACGCCCTCCCATCTATGTCTACACATCCATTTGAATGATGGTGCTGGTGAAGAATATTGAAGGAACCCTGGGCTGCCAAACGAACAAACAGATCTGTCTAAAACCAGGATGCTTTGTAGAAGCAAGGATGGTGGAACTTACTCTCGCGTGTTTGGGACATGCTATCAGGGGAGACCAGGCCCTGGAGTAGGACCTCATGCTGGGGATACAGAAGGGCAATGTCGAAGAAAAAGACCCTGGACTAGATGGATTGCTATGGTAGCTTCAACAATGGGCGCAAACATAGTAATTGCCCGGATGGCACACTACTGGGTGGTGTTTTGTTCTGTTGTACGTAGGGTCGTGGTGAGTTGGAACTGGCTTCATGGGACCTCACAACTACAACAGGCTTATCATTTCTGAAGGCAGTGTTTCTGTTTCTTTAAATCTTCCTTAAATACATCTGTGCCCTTGGGTTTACATTACATCTATGTATCTCAGTTTGGGCTTCCTTGAGAGAATCAAACAGTGTTCCTTTTAAATGCTCTTTGAGTTTGGGGAATAAAAAGGAGTCTGAAGGGGCAAGATCGGGGCTGTAAGGTGTGAGGACTAAGATTTCCCTATGAACTTCTCATTGTACATCCTTACTACCCTCAAAGAATGAGCGGGTACATGGTCATAATGAAAAAAATATATATCTTCAGCTCAACTTTTCATCAATGTGGTGTTCCATTTTCTTAAACTGTTCCTCTTGTTTCCTTCTGGGAATGCTATTAAGATTAAATCTTTGGAATTCCAAACACAGTTGCCTTCTGAGCTGACCTCTCTGCCATGAATTTAATTGGTCCTCTCAGAAGCCACAGTTTTCATTGAATTTCAGTAAGTGCATTACTGAGAGAACTTGTCTGCAGCTATCCACTGATGACAGAGGCATGTTTACACACATCTTGTTTACAATGAACCTATGCAACAAATGACAGCCCTAGCAACAACACTGTTTGACTTATGCCTGTTCGCGTTACGATATGGATTTACTTTGAAAACTTTAAGCCCAAGGCTCAAGGAAAGAGAAAAACTTTTACAAGGAAAGCAAAGGAAAGAGTCAGTGGCTGACCCCAGTCACTATCCCTGTTAGGGATTTCTGATTGATCACAATGAATACAGAAGACATGCGCGGGAGGAAAGAGAGATCAATACTCACTCTGAGGAAATGGAGGTCTTCCTTATAGTTTGGGGAAAACACAAGACTTCAACCGGGAGACAAACCCAGCTGCAAAACAGCCCCTTACCATTGACATATAGACTGTTCCGGTCCAGACTGTAGTACTCTAACCGGTTGACACCGTAGGTCAACTGGCTCAGCTCCCAGTACAGCTTCTCTCTGTCTAACCCTGGGTCTTCAAGGTCAGAGTAGTAGGTGCAGACAGCATCCACTCCAGTGGTTGCTCTGCCTTCCTCAGGCCTGCAGAAGGAAGGAATGTGGGCTGGTGATGTGCCAAAAAAGGGTCCCGAGCATTCCAGGGGTGTAGAGGTATAGAATTGAAGAGGAAGGGGAAAGACTGAGGGAGATCCTGTAAGAGCTTACTCTGAGGTTAAAAGAGGTCTCTTTTGGTGTTTCTCATGTGAGATAACAAATTCGTTACTGGGAGACAGAAAGTATTATACTTAGAATTATAAGTCAGGATACAGTAGTTAATTCTTCTGAGGGGAGATCATATATATATATATGATCCATATATATATATGGAACCATATATATATATTTCCTTGTTTCCAAGCCTTTATCTTCTGGTATATAGTTCCTTATTTCAAAACCTTTATCTTCTGGTAACCTGGCCATGAAAATGGCAAGAAGTAGCCATGTGCAGCTAAAGTTCATACTAACTGAACCTTCTACTCGAGAGTCCACTCAGCCTGCTGAAATACTCCAACCAGACGTCTCACCTGAGCAAGGCAAGTCTGCAGCCAGAGTAGAGGGGGCCGACACTGGTCTTATTGAACAAGGGCCCAAGCTGGTGAGAAAAGAGAAGAAGGTGAGCAGGGAGACCCTGCAGGGACTGAGGGGCTGTGTGGGCAGATGAGGTGGGAATGTCAGGTGGTCATCACGGGGCTTTCACCAGGCGCTGCAGGATCCTCTCAGTATAGTTGAACTTTGCTGAGCCTGGGTGTCCCATGCCATCTGTGTAGCGCAGGTTGGTGATGGTGAAGTTGAGGGTAAATGGAACCAGGGCAGGTTCAGCAGCTGCAATGGGGAAGAATAGAATGATGTTCATTTGGATCATACTATATATAGATCAAGGTTAAATGAAACCCTAGCTAAAAACACTAGCAAAAAGTATAGCCTCTTTCTGTAGAAGCTGAGTGGGCATCCTGGGATTTGCAATAGTCGGGATCCCTAAAATCACTCATTCAAAGGGCATTTATTGAGCATTCATGAGCCCTGGTGGCATAGTAGACTATGAGTTAGACTGCTTACCACAAAGCCAGCAGTTAAAACACATAACTTGCTCCATGAGAGAAACACGAGGCTTTGTACCTCCATAAAGATTCATAATCTCAGAGCAGGGGCAGTTCTACTCTGTCCTGTAGGGTCTATATGAGTTGGAATGAACTTGATGGCAGTGAGTTTGGTCTGGGTTTGGATAGGGTGTAAATGTCTAATGGTGGCGGTACACACTGTTTACAACAGATTGTTATCCTGATGGTTGGTTAGTTGAACCCACCCAGGTCATCTAATTCCATAAATATTACAGACAACAGAATACGAAGAACTTCTACTCTTTAACACCTGAGGTCACTGAGGTAGAATCAACTTGATAGCCGTCAGCTCAATGTTTGGGTTTTGGAATGGGTGTACAGCTCTTTGTGGGCCTCTGTGGGCTCATAGATGAATAAGGTGTGATGTTGTGGATTGATTTATGTCCTCTGTCCTCCTCCACCCCCTCACTCAACACACACACACAATATGTGCTGGAATCCTAACTCTTATAACTGGATTTAACCCTGTTAGGAAATAGGATTTTCTTTGTTATGTTAATGATGTTTTTACCAAATTTATACCAGGTTTATACTAAACTTAGGATTTTTGAATTATTCATATAGCAAGTTAGACAAAGAAGGACAAGCAAAACAAGGATAGACAGGTGGCATGTAAAAAGTCCCAAGAAACCAAGGGATTACAAAAAAAAAGATTAAAGTTGTCAAGGATTTTATTTTACTTGGGTCAACATTCAAACCTCATCGACGCATCAGTCAAGATACCAAACAATACATTGCTGTACAAGAACTCTTTAAAGTGTAAAGTGCTAAAAGGCAAAGCTATCACTTTGAAGATTAAGGTGGACCTGACCCAGCCTATGATATTTATAATTGCCTCATATGCATGTGCAAGTTGGATAATGAGCAAGGAAGACCTAAGGAGAAGACTGGTGAATTTGAATTATGGAGATAGGAAAGACTATATAGAAAGGACCATGGACTGCTGGAGGAAGAAATCTATCTGAACGAAGTATGGCTAGAATGTTCCTTAGAATCTAAAGTGGTGAGACTTATTCTAATAGACTTTGGACATATTATCAGAGGAGACCAGTACCTGGAAAAGGAGATCCCGCTTGGTGAAGTAGAGTCAGTGATAGAGAGGTAGACCCTCAGGGAGATGGAGTGACACAATGGCTGCAACAGCTGGCTTACAAAAGGATTGTGAGGGTGGCCCAAGTCTGGGCAGTGCTCATTTTATTGCAACTGGAGTTGTTATGACTTGATAGTACATAACAACAGCAGCAATGACAATCTCTGCCATAAGGGCCCGATTGGTGCAGCGGGTTAAACACTGGACTGCTGATTGAAAAGTTAGTGATTAGAACCCAGTTTTGAAGAGAAAGTTTTGAGACAATCTAGTTCCATAAAGATCTACAGCCTCAGAGACCCAATGAAATATTTCAGCTTGAATCCATATAGTCCCTAAATGTAAAAATCAATTTGATGGCAGTGGTTTTGGTGGACATACAGGCAATAGTGGAGACTACGGCAAAAATTCTAGCAGAAGATGCTGATGACCTGATTGAAAATTGAAGTGAAGTATTTGCAGATAAAAGAAGAACTTGGAGGTATTCAGGAGAAGAAATGAGCTTAGGTGATAGATGGATGTGGGGTGGGAGGAGCATGGAATGCTAAGGTTGATAAACTGGTCTCTGCTTTGATGATGAAGGAAGGAGAGATTTTTGAGCTGAAGATAAAATGTGAGACCCAGCAGCCTCCATAAGGATCCAGGAGGTGGGTGGAAGATGGATCCAGAGTCATGATGGAATGTGGATTTGCGCACATGGAGGTTAGATGGTTGGTCCAAGAAAAAAACAAAAACTCACTGCCATCAAGTTGATGCCCACTCTTAGCAACATTACAGGACAGGGTAGAACTGCCAATGTGAGTTTCTGAGGCTATAACTGTTTATAGGCGTAGGCTATAACTCATTCAGAGCTGCTGCTGGTGTCGAACTGATGACCTTTGGGATCACAGCTGAACTTGTAACCGCTAAGCCACTAGGGCTCATTTAGGTGATTGGAAGAATCTACATAAACAGATGATCTACCTTAGGGCAAGGGAAGGAAAAATTACTTTGGACAAATAATTCTGGAGGAAATATTTTATCATTGATAGAAGCCTGAGACCTTTCCTACCTGTTGTGGGCTTGATGGTGAAAGCAGACACCTTAGAGGATGTTGGGACTGATGTTGAGTTCACACCTGCTGAGTAAGCAACATCAGGAAAAATATTCAAGGTGAGTTAGCTCTAAGGAAACAGCAATGGGTAGCGGGGGTGGAGAAGTCATGGAAACGCATGCCCCTCTAGCCCGGGAATAGGGTATTGAGCTCAGGAAGGTGGACAACTGTATGCATGTCCTCTGGACACTTTTCCTTCCTGTTGTTAAGCGGTGGAAGTAAGATATGGCAATCCAGCAGATCCTACTGATCAGATGATCAGGGGGTTGAGGGTGGACAGGTGAGTTCCAGGCACACAATGATACTGGGCTTTGTCATACTTACTATTGTAGGTTGTGACTGGTTCCCAGTGGGTGTAACCTGCAGAGGATGAAGAAGGAAGAGAAACATTCAATGAGGAGGCAACTTGGCCACAGGAGACAGGGTTGCAGGCCTATCATGTCTGTGATTCCTTAAAAGGAAGACAGTGTCCTCAGCTGTCAGGGACCAAACCCCAACTCACACACACAAAATAAAGGCCTTTCTCAGTGTCCAGATGGACGTTTGAGCTTGAGGCAGAGACTTGTCCTATAAGGACCCACCCAGCAAGGGACAGAAGGCAACACAGCAGGGCCTCTCACCATTGACATAGAGACTGTTCTTGTCCAGAGTGTAGGGGCCCAGTTGGGTGACTCCTTGGGTCAGCTTGCTCAGCTCCCAGTAAAGCCACTCTCTGTCCAGGCTAGAGCTCTCGGGGTCAGGGTGGTGGGTGCAGATGGCATCCATTCTGGTGGCTTCCCTATTATTTTGAGGCCTGGGGAAGGAGGATGGAGGTATAATAACTAATGATACCCGCAGAGTCCTGATATTGTTTACTGGTAGGGAAGGAGATGAGACACATGAAGAGTTGGATTTGGGATTAGAGCAAAGGGACTAGGCACATTTTCTTCAGAAAATTCTTGGGGTTAGCATTTAACATGCCAAGGAAATGTCCTTCTTGGTCAGAGGGTGGTCAAAGATAGATCCACTTTCCAATATGCTCTCCAGGGTCTGGGTTGGGATTGAGGACCACACTATGCCCTTGCTTCTGTGGTGTTTGCCTATTGGATTTCTACTCTGTTGATCATCCTGTGTCCTGTATCTGGTAGGGTAGAAAAGAAACTTAACAGGTGCCTTGGACCTAGGAGAAATTGTGGTATCCCTGTCAGCTGTTGTGTCTAGGTATCTCACCTGAGCAAGGTCAGTGTGCAGCCCGCGTAGATGGGACCAACACTGGTCTTATTGAATAAAGGCCCAAACTGGTGAGAAAAGGAAAGGAGGTCAATGGGAGAACGATAAAGGGAGGAAGTGGGTATGTGGGTAGGTATGAGGTGGGCCTACTAAGGTGGTCATGATAGAGTGCCCACCAGGTGCTGCAGGATCCTCTCTGTGAAGTTGAACTTAGCAGAGCCTGTGACTCCCATGTCATCTGTGTAGCGAAGGTTAGTGATGGTGAAGTTGAGTGTGAATGGAATCAGAGCAGGTCCAGCAGCTGCATGGGGGAGGAAGAGAAATATATCAATTTGGAACACTATAATAACCCATGTGGCCTGGAACCTTGTCCAGGAGCATTATTAGTGGACTAACTGCAACCACTGGCAATTCTGAAATTCACAGGGTTGGGAACCAAGACTCACTCATTAAATCAGCATTTATTGACCACTGATGGATGGAGATGCTTTTGGGTGGTGGGAGTGTTCTACAATGGGTATTTCAATGAAATATTGGGAGCATTAAGCCACCCAATTGATCTGTTCTCATAAACATGACTGTCAAGAATCTTTGTAGAGCACTTTATAGCACTTGGAGTCACAATGAGTCAGAAACAACTTCACTTCAACGGGTTTTATGATTTGGTTTAGGACGGGATACTCTGTGATGGTCACTGTAGGGTCCCAGATCAGTAAGTTGAAGCGCTATGGATTGAATATGTCCCCTCAAAATATTTGTGGAAATTCTGGGATCCTAAAATGCATGAAATGTAAGGTGCACTCTAGTTTTGTAATAGACTTTTCTTTGTTATGTTACTAAGGTTATATCGGCATCAGGTATGTCCTGAATCTAATCATATTTGAATATATAAAAGAGCACATAGAGGGAAAAGAAGAAACATCCTTGACAACTTCATTATTTTCTTCATATACCAACATATCTAGGTGACAAAGGAGCCCTGGTTGTGCTGTGGACTATGTGTTGGGCTGCTAACTCAGAGGTTGGCAGTTAGACGTCTGCTTCTGTAAAGACTTGCAACATCTGAAATCTAATCACGCAGTTTAACTGTACCCGAAACAAGACCAGTCAACTAGACGTGGTGACTATGGCAGGTGTTTAAACCACAGGGAGGGCTCCTATAGCCACCCTAGAAAAATATGCTTGCTAGTGTCGTGCATGAGGGTAGAGGTGAAGCAGATACAAATAAAGGAAGGACTTAGAGAGATTCAGCAGGGAGAAGCGATGAGCATTGGCAATGGATGGATGGGAAGTAAGGAACAGGGAATGACAAGGTTGGTGTGCCTGTGACTGCTCTGCTGATGAGAAAAGGAACAAGTTTGAGATATGACTTCATAGCAGACATGTAAAACCAAGTAGCCTCAGTGATGTCTAAGGAGTTGGGTTGGCAGTGGGTCCAGTGTAATTGTGGGTGGTGGATTAAGGTATCCAAAGGTATGTGGTTGGTAGAATTCTCATAAGTGGATAAGCTCCAGTAGGTACAGTGAGCGAGGACTGAAGAAAGAAATGACTTGGTACAAATAATGCTGGGGAAATGATTTCATTATCAATAAAAGCCTGAGGCTTTTCCTACCTGTGAGGTTGGTGGTGAAGGCAGGTACCATAGAGGATGTTGAGAATGATGTGGGGGTCACAGCTGCTGTGGAAGAAACATCAGGACTGAGTGTCAAGGTGTACTAGTTCTAGGGAAATGGCAACGGGTGGTAGTGGCAAGATACTAAGTTATGGAAGTGTGCAGTTCTCTCTAGGACCTTCTCAGCCTGGGAACAGTGCAATGGCACCAAAGGATAAGCAAACTCTGTCTCTATTCTATGCACATCCTCTGGGAAGTTGCCTTCCTGATGATTAGTGTCAGGGGGAAGGGTTGGAAGGTCTAGCAGGCTCTATCATTCAGGAGATGTGGGGTGGTCCGAGGCAGGAAGGGAATTTGGGCCCTGTGATACTCACTATTGGAGCTTGTGGCTGGTTCCCGGTGGGTGTAACCTGTGTATGGTGATGAAGGAAGAGAGAATAATATTCAATGAAGAGGCAATTTGGACATAGAATGATGGCTGGGCCATCACAACCTGGTAGTGATCAAAACTCAAAACACAGGTTTTGCTAAAAGCCATCCAATAGGAGAGGTCCAAATGGAAGTATGAACTTGGGACAAAGACTTACTGTATAAGGACCCACCCAGCAGGGACAAAAGACTTTAATACAGCAAAGCTTCTTACCGTTCACATAGAGACTGTTCTTGTCCAGAGTGTAGGGGCCCAATTGGGTGACTCCTTGGGTCAGCTTGCTCAGCTCCCAGTAAAGCCACTCTCTGTCTAGGCTAGGACTCTCAGGGTCAGGGCTGTGAGTGCAGATGGCATTCACTCTTGTGGATTCTCTGTCATTCTTAGTCCTGGGATAGGGGAAACCATGGAATATGAACAAATGGTTATCCTACAAAGTGGTCCTGAGATCCTTTATGGGTAGGGAAGGAAGAGGAGAAAGAAATGGAGACAATTGAAGACATTAGGTTTAGGATTAGAGCATGTGGAAAAGGCCTCTTGATCTCAAGAGGACACCCGGGGAGAGATTTTAATACTCCAAGGAAATTCTCTCTTTGATGAGAGGAAGGAAAAGGGAGGACCCACAGGGTGGTCAAGGAGAGACCAGCCGTTCAGCCTTCTGATGAGCTCTACAGAGTTTGTGTATAGCAGTGGGGGCTGGAATCTGTCTTGGTCCTGGAATATGTATTCCCTAAACTTCATTTCTGTTGCGAAAGCTGTATTCAGCAGGACAGAAAGGAAATTGAAAAAATACCTGTGGCCTGGGAGTACTTGTGGTAGCTATCAGCTTTCCTGCCTAGGTATCTCACCTGAGTGAAGTCAGGGTGCAGCCAGAGTAGAGGGGTCCAACACTGGTCTTATTGAACAATGGCCCAAGCTGGTGAGATAAGAGAAGGGCGTCAGTAGAAGGGATGTCAGATCATCAAAGGACTGAGTGGTGTGTGGACAGTTATGAGATGAGGCTGCCCACGTGGTCATTATAGGACTCTCACCAAGCGCTGCAGGATCCTCTCCGTGAAGTTGAACTTAGCAGAGCCCGGGGTTTCCATGTCGTCTGTGTAGCGCAAGTTGGTGATGGTAAAGTTCAGGGTGAAAGGAACCAGAGCACGTTCAGCAGCTGCATTGGGGAGGAAGAGAAAGGGATCCCATTGAACCTTGTCCAGCAGTACTAGTAGTGGACCAAGTACACAATGGCCATCTACAGAAGCTTCAGGAGGGAGCCATCTGGAATTCACAAGAGTTGAGAGAAGTAGACTCACTCAATAAATCAGCATTTGTGGACACAAATGTTTGTGGATGGAAGAAGTGGTTCACAATGGGCTATTAACCTACACTTTGGCAGTACAAAGCCACTCAAGCGGTCTGCATCCATAAAGATTACTGACAGGAAACTCTATAGAGCAATTCACTTTGTAACACTTGGGGTCACACTAATTTGGAACGGACTTCACTGCAATGGGTTTGATGTTTTTGATTAGAAACAGTCTAATTCTGTCTTACATAGTTATGATGCAGTGAGTTTGATGACTATATAGGCCACATGGAAGGCTCCTATAGACATGCTAGGAAAAGATGCTAGTGTCCTGGATGAGGGTAGAGGTGAAGCAGATGTAGATAAAGGAAGGACATAGAGAGAGATTCAGGAGGGAGAAGAGATGAACTACCGTGATGGATGGATGTGGGAAGTAAGGAACGGGGAGTGACAAGGGTGGCGTGCCTGTGTCTATTTTGATGAGGAGGAAAGGACCAGGTTTGAGGCATGACAATGACTTCATGGCAGACGTGCAAAACCAAGTCGCCTCAGTGATGTCTCAGGAGTTGGTTGACAGTGGGCCCAGTGTCACCGTGGGCTGTGGATTAGGATACCCAACGGTGTGTGGCTGGTACAATCCTCATAAATGGATAAGCTCCAGTGGACACAGTGAATGAACACTGAGGAAAAGAGATGATTTGGTACAAATAATGCTAGAGACATGTTTCATTATTAATAAAAGCTTGAGGCTTTTCCTACCTGTGGGCTTCATGGTGAAGGCAGGCACCATAGAGGCTGCTGGGAATGATGCGGAAGTCACAGCTGCTGGGGAGAAATACCAGGATGGAACAGTTAGTTCTAAGGAAATGACAACAGGTGATGGGGTTAAGGGACTAAGTTATGGAAATATATACTTCTTTTTATGATCCTCTCAGCCTGGGAATAAATAAGCCACTCACTTCAAGAGGATGAGCAACTCAATCCACATTCAGGCATGTCTTCTCTACCTTTCACCTCCTCATGGTAAGTGGAAGGAAGCCTCAGCAGATCTAGCAGGTCCTATTGCTTTTAAGAGCTATGGGGTGGCTGTAGGCCCTCCGGGACATTGGGCTCTGTAATACTCACGATTGGAGGTTGTGGCTGGTTTCCAGTGGGTGTAACCTGCAGTTGGAATAGAAAGAAGAGGGAATGATGGTCAGTGCGGAGGCAATTTGATTATAGGAGGCCCATCACATCAATGCTGTGATTCCTTAAAAGGAAGACAGAGTTTCTACCTGGAGGAGATCAAACCTTTACATACTCTGGAGAAACGGCCCTTGTTCAAAGCCTTCTAATAGGAGAGATCCAGAGAGAAACCTGAACTTGGAGCAGACAGTGGCCCTATTCAGAGCCGCCTAGCATGATAAAGGAGAATCCCACCACAGCAGGGCTTCTCACCATTGACGTAGAGACTGTTTTTGTCCAGAGTGTAGGAGCCCAGTTGGGTGACTCCTTGGGTCAGCTTGCTCAGCTCCCAGTAAAGCCACTCTCTGTCCAGACTGGGACTCTCAGGGTCAGGGCGGTGAGTGCAGATAGCATCCACTCTGGTGGCTTCCCTGCCCTTCTTGGACCTGAGGAGGGGGATGAGTGGAATGAAAATAAATGGTGTCCCTGCAGATGGGTAATGAGATTATTTATGGGTAAGGAAGAAAGGGGTCAGAAAAAATGAGACAAGTGAAGAGCTTTATTTTGGGTAGAGCAGAAGGACTATTCCCATTTATCTCAAGAAGATCCCTGAGGGCAGAAATTCACATTTCAAGGAAATTATCTCCCTGATTAGATGAAGGGACCGAGAGGATTCAGAGGGTGTCCACGGAGTGGTCAGCACTGTAATGGGTTCTCCAGAGACTATGGGTAGGAATGGCAACCAGAAGATGCCTGGGTTGTAGAGTATGTACCTCCTAAACTCCTGCTCTGCTGAGGAAGCTCTTATGACAGGGCATTAAGCAAACTGAACAAATGCCTTAGGGTTGGGAGTTCTTGTGGTAGCTGTTTTGTCAAGGTGTCTCACCTGAGTGAGGCCAGTGTGCATCCATAGTAGAGGGGGCCAACACTGGTCTTATTGAACAAGGGTCCAAGCTGGTGAGAAAAGAGAAGGAGGTTACAAGGAGGGCCCACGGGACTGCAAGTTTGTGTGGACAGCAATGCAGTGGGGCTTCCCAGTTGGTTTTTAAGGGGCCTTACCAGGCGCTGTAGGACCCTCTCAGTGAAGTTGAACTTAGCAGAGCCCGGGGTTTCCATGTCATCTGTATAGCGCAGGTTGGTGATGGTGAAGTTGAGGGTGAAAGGAACCAGAGCAGGTTCAGTAGCTGTATTGGGAAAGAAGAGAAACCTGTCTCTTTGGATCTTGGCGAGAGTAATAGCAATGGAACAACAGCTACCATCTACAGGAGCTGTAGGAGAGAACATTCGGGATTCACAACTGTTGAGAACCTAGACTCCTCCATTCAATACGCATTTAATGAGCACTAATGGGTGCAAGCAAAAGAGCTGAATAAAAAATAAGAAAGGCCATCCCTTGATGGCAAAGAAAGTACTATATTAAAATGTACAAAGACCTAGCCTTAGAAAGCCAGTAAAAACACACTTAGCATATCTCAAACTAGAGAACCGAAGAAAGACAATCTCAAGCTTCTAGTTTCAATATCGAAAGATTCTATTAGTAAAATATGGAATGATGCAGAAGACATCATAAGTCACTGGAAGGAACACACAAAGCCCCTGTACCAAAAGCAACTGCTTGAAATAAACCATTTCAAGATAAAATGTGTGATCAACAACCAACAATACTTAAGGTAGACATCACAGCTGTGCTGAAGGCATTAATGAAAAGCAAGGTCCAGAAACTGGCTACATATCAATTGAAATGTTTTAAAAAGCTGACAAAACACTGGAAATTCTCACTCATCTATGCCAAGAACTTTATTATTATTATTATTATGACTTTTAAAGAATAGCTTATTGACCCTTAGTTTTATTTACTTTTTATAAAGAATTTTACTGGAACATAACCCAAATACCATACAATTAAATAGTTCAATCGTCTTAAGAAGTGTTGTACAATCATTACTACAACCAATTTTGGAGCTTCTTTTTTTATTGTACTCCTTGTTATTAGCTCCCCATTTGCCCCAAACTCCCTTGCTATTACCCAAAGGAATCATTAATCCAGTTGCTTTCTCTATAGATTCACCCATTATGGACTTCATATACTAAGGAACACAAAAAATCCAAACCAAGCAAAATAAGACAAAAAGAGTCAAACATGCTAACAATAACGAAATAAAACAGAGAAAACTCAAATTGGAAAGAAAACAGAAAATATGAAAACTACATTAAATGAGTCAAAAGGGAGATCAAATAATAAGGTGTTAGATTTAACTTCACTACATCTATCCTGATCCACTTTCCAAGCATTCTGTATTCCAAGGACTGCAGAAGAAAGTAACCTGGCAAACCAACTGGAAGAGATTCCTACTTGTGCCCATTCCACATAAAGGGGAAGCAGAAATTATTGAAGAATATACTTTATATCATGAAAGTAAAATTTTGCTGAAGATAATTCAGTGACAGTTGTTGCGCTACATTGATAGGGAACTGATAGCAATTCAAGCTGGATTCAGAAGAGGATGGAACATGAGGGAGAGTGTTTCTGGCGAATCTCGACTGAAAGTAGGGAAAACCAGAAAGATGTTTACTTGTATTTTATTGACTATGTGGGAGGTGAGGAACAGGAATGCCAGGGCTTGTGTGCCTGCCTGTGTGAATAATAAAGAAAGGAAGGTGTTTGAAGAACCATGATGAAGGATGACTTTAGCGTGGGCATGTGAGCAATCAAGCAGCCTCAGTGATATCTCATTATCTGCGTGGAAGAGTGATCCTGTGACAATGTATATACTGTATGGATTTCAGGCTAGTGGTTGGTAAAGTACACACAAATATATGAATTTCCAGAGTGAGAATGAGTGAACCAAGAAGGAAGAAATGATGTGGCACAAAAGTGCTGGAGAAATTATGTTGTTATCAATTAAAACCTAAGGTCTTTCCTACCTGTGGGCTTGGTGGTGACGGCAGGATTCACAGAGGGTGTTGGGTGGGATGTAAGGGTCACAGCTGCTGGGCAAGAAACATTGGGAAGAAAATTCAAGGTATGCTAGTTTTAAGGAAATAACAAGTATGATCCTAAGTTATGGAAAGGTAGAGTTTTCTCTGACTCAGATTTCTCTGACATTGGCTTGAAGAAGAAAGGCAACTCAATTCCCATTCTATGCTTATCCTGGATATTCTTTCTTTTCTGATGGCAAGTAGTTGGAGGAGATGTTTCCAGGTCCAGCCAAATCAAACCACTCATACGCTCGAGTCAAGTCAAACCCAAATCCACCCTCTAGAACAGGTTAGCTCGGTCTATGTGGGTTTCTGAGAATGTGACACTTTAATGAAGTGGAACGCCTCATCGTTCTCTGGTATGCCCTCATGGTTTTGAACTGCTAACCAGGCCTATTCTCTGGTAGGTCCATGGTCCTATTATTGCGACATGAGGGGTGTTCCCAGGCACACAGGGATACTGAGGTCTGTAATACTCACTTTGGGAGGTGGTGGATGGTTCCCAGTAGGTGTAACCTGCAGGCGGTAAAGAAGAGAGATGGATCAACATTCAATGAAGATGCAACTTGGTTACCTGAGAAACGGTAGGAGGATCACTACAGCTCTGATTCTTTAAAGTTAGACACAGCTATCAATTGGCAGGCTCCCAGTTCCTGCCCTTACTTGGAAGACATAGGCCCTTAAAGCTCTCCAATTTCAGCGGTCCAAATGGAAGCCTAAATTTAGGGCAGAGACCTGCCCAAGGAGGACCTTACTTAGCCAGGGCAGGAGTCACTCACCCCAGGAGGGCTTCTCACCATTAACATAGAGACTGTTCTTGTCCAGCGTGTAAGGGCCCAGTTGCATAATTCCCTGGGTCAGATTGTTCAATTCCCAATAAATCCTCTCTCTGTCCAGTATGGGGCGTTCAGGGTCAGGTTGGTGGGTGCAGATGGCATCCATTTTGGTGGCGTCACCAACTTTCTTGGGTCTGCGGAAGGGGGATAAGGTGAAGACAACAAATGTGGCCCCACAGAAGGGTCCCTGAGATTCTTTAACCTGAAGAGAGGATGGAGTGTTGGAGACGTGCTGGACAGGTGACATGCTGGATTCGGAATGGAAGAAAATGGAGGAGGAACACATGTATCTCCTGGAACAGAATTTCACACTTCAAGGAAATGTCCTTCTTGGTCAGAGGAAGGGACAGAGATAATTCACAGGGTGTCCAGTGAGGGGCTCTCCTTGCTGATAGGCTTTCTCTAGACTTTGTGCTCCAGAGAGGGGAAAAGGAGGTGCCTTATTCCAATCAAATGCTTTGGGTGTGGCAGAACTTTGGGTAGCCCTGCTAGCTGTCTTGTCTAGGTTTCTCACCTGAGTGAAGTCAGTGTGCAGCCAAAGTAGAGATGTCTGATGCTGGTTTTGTTGAATAAGGGCTCAAGCTATTGAGAAAAGAAAATGGTGTCAGAAGGAAGGCACAGGGATTGAGTATTTGTGTGGACAGTAATGAGGTGGCGCTTCCCAGGTGGTCATTATGGGACCTCACCAGTTGCTGCAGGATCTTCTCAGTGAAGTTGAACTTAGCAGATCCTGGGATTCCCATGTCATCTGTATAGCGCAGGTTGGTGATGGTGAAGTTGAGTGTGAAAGGAACTAGAGCAGGTTCAGTAGCTGAAATGGGAAGGAAGAGATAGTTGTCCATTTGAATCTTGGCCCGAAGCAATAGCAACGGACCAAGATACCATCTACAGGAGCTGTAGGAAAAGACATTCTGGAATTCACAAGTTTTAGGAACCTAGACTCCTCCATTCAATTAGTATTTAATGAGAACTAGTGAGTGCAAACAAAAAGAGCAGAATACAAAACTTCCAAGGCCAGCCCTTGATCATAAAGTACTATTATAAAATGCACGAATACCTAGAGTTAGAAAGGGAGTAAAAACACACAGCCTTATCTCAAATTGAAGAATTGAAGGGAAACCCCTCAAGCTTCTACTTTCAATATTGAAGGATTCTATTAGGAAAGCATCAAATGATGCAGAAAGTATCATAAGAGACTGGACGGAATGCACAAGTACCTGTACCAAAAATAAGTGGTTGCAACCAACCATTAAGAGAAATCATATTATTAACAACCAATGCTGTCAAGGAACAAATCCAAGCCATACTAAAGGTATTAAGGAAAAGCAACTTCTGGGAACAGATGGAGTTTTATTGGAAATATTTTAACAACTAATTAATCACTGGAAGTATCCACATCTATGCCCCAAACTTTTGAAGACACCAACTTGGCCAACCAACTAAAAGATATCGATTTTGATGTCCATTGCAAAGAAAGGTGACCCAACAGAGTGCGGAAAATATTCAGCGATATGTTTTTCTCGGTTATATTACTTGCAGATAAAACTTTCCTGAGGAATGTTCAAGAACAGTTGCAGCAATACATTGATAAATAACTGGTAGAGCAGCAATACAATGATAAGGAACTGATAGAAATTCAAGCTGGACTTAGAAGAGGATGTGATATGTGGGATATCATTGCTGATGGATCTTGGCTGAAAGCAGAGAAAACAAGAAAAATGTTTACTTGTATTTTATTGAGTATATGGGAGGTGAGGTACAGGGAGTGCCAAGGCTGATGGGCCTGCATGCTTTCATAATGAGGAAAGGAGAAGGTTTGAGAGATGATGATCACTGATGACTTTAGGGTGGGCATGTGGGACCAAGCTTCCTCATTGATGGCAAAGGATGTTGGTGGATTCAGACTCCAATGTCATTTAGAGTGTGGATTTTAGGCCTGGTGTTTTAGGAAATCCATAGCAATAGATGCATTTCCTTGGAAACAGTGACTGAACAGGAAGAACTGATTTGGCCCAAATAAAGCTGGAAAAATGATTTTGTTATCAATAAAACCCTACAACCTTTCCATCTGTGGGCTTGGTGGGGAAGACAGGTGTCATAGAGGCTGTTTGGTAGGATGTGGGGGCCCCAACAGCAAGGGAAGAAACAGCAGGAAGGATTCAAGTTACATTAGTTTTTCATAAATGGCAATGGATGTGGTACTTAATTATGAAAATGTACAGTTCTCTTTGACTCAGTTTGGGATAGGGACATGACTTAAGGAATAAGGGCAACTCCATTCCCAGAATCTGCATATTCTCTGGATCCTTGTCTTTTCAGATGGCAAGTAGTGGGAGGAGTGGTTGGTAGGGCAACCAAAGCAAGCTAAACACACTACTCTCTAATCCATTCCGACCCATTGCCACCCTATAGTATGGGGTAGCCATACCCATGTGGGTTTCTGAGAATGTGACACTTTAGTGAGGTAGAAAGCCTCATTGTTCTCCTGGTAACCAGCTGGTGGTTTTGAACTGATGATAAGGCCTATGCCCTGGTAGGTCCAGCAGGTCCTATTATTATGAGATGAGGGGTATTCCCAGGCACACAGGGATATTGAGGTCTGTAATACTCACTTTGGGAAGTGGTAGCTGGTTCCCAGTAGGTGTAACCTGCAGACGGTAAAGAAGAGAGATGGATCAACATTCAACGAAGATGCAACTTGGCTACAAGAGAAATGGGGCAGGTCCATTAAAGCACTAATTCCTTACGAGTCAGACAGAGCTAGCACCTATGAAGGACCAAAGTTCCAGACTTTACAGTGGAGACATAGGCCCTTCAATCCCTCTAACTTCAGCGGCCCAAATGGAAGACTAAATTTGGGATAGAGACTTGCCCAAGGAGGACCTTACCTAGCCATGGGCAGGAGTTGCTCACCCCAGGAGGGCTTCTCACCATTAACATAGAGACTGTTCTTGTCCAGAATGTAGGGACCCAGTTGGGTAACTCCCTGGGTCAGATTGTTCAGCTCCCAATAAATCCTCTCTCTGTCCAGTATGGGGCGTTCAGGGTCAGGTTGGTGGGAGCAGATGGCATCTATTCTGGTGGCTTCACCATCCTTCTTGGGTCTGAGGAGGGAAGATGGGGTGTTGACAACAAACATGTCTCCATAAATGCATCCCTGTAATTCTTTAAGCTGAAGAGAGGATAGAGAGTTGGCAAAATGAGACAGGAGAAGTGCTGGATTTGGGATGAAAGCAAATGGAGAAGGAAGACATGTATCCCTTGGGGCAGAATTTCACACTTCAAGGAAATGCCCTTCTTGGTCAGAGCCAGGGACAGAGAGAATGCAGTGGGTGTCCAGAGAGAAGACAGCCCTGCCAATAGGCTCTCTAGAGTTTGTGGTTGATTGGCGACCAGAAGTTGCCCAACTCCTTGCGCATCAGTCTCCTGAATTCTCCCTTGGTTGAGCGTGCTGTATCTAGCAGGGCATAAGGACACCGAACAAATGCTTTGGGTTTGGCAGCCCTTTTGGTATCCCTGCCAGCAGTCATGTCTAGGTTTCTCACCTGAGTGAAGTCAGTGTGCAGGCAGAGTAGAGATGTCTGATACTGGTTCTATTGAACAAAGGCCCAAGCTGGTGAGAGAAAAAAATGGGTTCAGAAGGAAGACCCAATGGATTGAGTATTGGTATGGACAGGTATGAGGTGGGGCTGCCAAGTGATCATTATGGGGCCTTACCAAGCGCTGCAGGATCTTTTCAGTGAAGTTGAACTTAGCTGATCCTGGAATTTCCATATCATCAGTGTAGCGCAGGTTGGTGATGGTGAAGTTGAGGGTGAACGGAACCAGAGAAGGTTCAGTAGCTACATTGGGAAGGAAGAGATAGTTGTCCATTTGAATCTTGGTCAGAAGTGCTAGCAATGGTTCAAGTATAGCTACCATCTGTGGGAGATGGAAGAGAGAGCATTCTGGAAGTCACAAATGTTGGAAATATAGATTTGCTCATTCAATCTGCATTCAATGAGCACTTCTGTGGGCAAGCAAAAGAGCTCAATGAAAAATTTGAAAGGCCCGCCCTTGATGACAAAGTCAGATGCTATAATAAAAAGTGGAAAGACCTAGAGTTAGAAAGCCAAATAAAAACATACGTGGCACAACAAACTAAAGAACTGAAGAAAAAATCAAGCTTCTAATTTCAGTAATATGTGATTCTTTTTTTTTTAAAACATTTTATTAGGGGCTCATACAACTGTTATCCCAATCCATACACACATCAATTGTGTAAAGCGCATTTGTACATC